CCCCCCCACCGCTGGTTCTGCCGCCGCCGGCTCCGGGAGCCTCTGTCGCCGCTGCCACCGCGGCCAGGATGTGTCACCGCGATGGTAGGGACAGGGACGGGGACCGGCACCTGCGAGGTCAGGGATGGGGATGGAGACAGGGATGGGGATAGGGATGGGGACAGGATGGGGACGGGGACAGGAATGGGGACGGGGATGGGGACAAGGACCCGCCGGGAGCTCTGGCAGCTCTGTCAGAGCCCGAGAAACTTGCGGGGACCGCGGGGACATCGGGGATGGGCGCTGACACCCGGAGCGGGACGCGGTGGCACCGGGATACGGCGGCACCGGGGACCGCGGGGAGGTCGGGGCTCGGGTGGCACCGGGGATGGGCGCTGACACCCGGAGCGGGATGCGGTGGCACCGGGATACGGCGGCACCGGGGACCGCGGGGAGGTCGGGGCTCGGGTGGCACCGGGGACAGGCGCTGACACCCGGAGCGGGACGCGGTGGCACCGGGATACGGCGGCACTGGGGACCGCGGGGAGGTCGGAGCGGAGCTGCCGCTCCCAGTGCTTCCCGGGGCTGGGAGCGACGTTCCCGGAGGGGGAGCCCGAGTGGAGCTTCTCCAGGACCGGAGCCATTTCCCCGGGATCGGAACCTTTTCCCACTGGGACCGGAGCTGTTTCCCCGGGATCAGAGCCTTTTCCCCCGGGATCGTGGCGGTTCCCCAAGGCTGGGCTGGGAATTCTGTGAGATCGGAGCTGCCGATTTCCCGGCATCGCAGTGGTTTTCCCGGAATCGGAGCCTTTTCCTTTCGGGATCRGAGCTGTTTCCTTGGGATCGGAGCTGTTTCCTTGGRATCGGAGCCTTTTCCTTCRGGATCGGAGCCTTTTCCTTTGAGATCGGAGCCTTTTCCCTGGGATTGGAGCTTTTTCCTTAGGAATTGGAGCCTTTTCCCCAGGATCACAGCCTTTTCCCCTGGGATCACGGTGCTTTCCTGCGGCCGGGCCCCGGTTTCCCCTGGCTTCAAGCGCTTCCTTGGGATCGGAGCATTCCCGGCGCTGCGCTGGGTGCGCCAGGGGCCAGAGCAGTTCCCCGGGATTGGGATCGGAGCCATTCCTAGGGCCTGATCCGCATTCCTGTGCGATCGGAGCACTTCTTTGGGATCAGAGCGGTTCTCGGGGATCTGAGCGATTCCTGGAGCCGGGCTGGGTTTCTTTGGGATTAGAGCAATTCCCCAGGGCCTGATCCCCATTTCCCTGGGATCAGGGCAGTTTTCCAGGATAGGAGGCAGTTCCTCTGGGAGGAACGGGGGATTTCCCCAGATCCAGGCAGATTCTTTGGGACGAGAGTGATTCCTGCAGCCGGGCGCCGCTTCCTGGGATGGGCACGATCCCAGACGCCTTCCCGGCACTGGGATCGGGGCTGCTCCCGGTGCCGGGATGGGCTCGGGGCTGAGCTTCCCCCGGGATCGGGATGATCCCTGGAACGGGGAGGGGCTCGGGAGCAGGACCACATCCAGGCTGATCCCGGGAGCTGGAATTGGCCCCCGGGTCCCCTGGGATCGGGATGACACCCGGACAGGGACGTCCCCAGCACCGTCCTGCGCCCTGGGAGCCTTTGGGGGCCATTGGGAGCCCCCTGCTCCTCTGGGACACCCCTGCATCTCCCCCCCACCCAATTTCCCTGCCCTGGG